GGCACCGCCCCGCCCTCGCCATTGGCCGCCCGCCGGCAGCGCGGGCGCTCATTGGAGGAGGGCAGTTCATTCATGCCGTGCTGCCACCGGCCACGTGGGCCGGTGCCGCGCGCCCGCTCCCACGCACGCCACGCCCGTCCCGCGCCACGCCCCCCCACGCCACGCCCATACACACGCCACGCCCACCCTTTCCCACGCCCACCCCCGTCCCGCCCCGCGAGTCGCGGTTCCCGCCGGAGCGCGGCCGCGAGTGGCGCAGAGCGGGTCCCCGCGGGACCCACAGCCCGGGGCACCGCTGTCCCCGCCGCACTCCCGCCCCGGCCACCCCCGCGTCCCTCCGTACCCTGCCGGTGCCACGTCCCACGCGCGTGGGGGACAAGAGCCCAATTCTGGCTGCAAGAGCACTCACTGAAAATCTTTTTCTTCATTTATTTTTTTCCCCAAAGATATTGCTTGCCAATCCTTCCCAAGGATTTGGGGATGTGCTGTAAAATATCACACTTGCCTAAACATTTTCAGCGTATTCTCTTCTGACCCTGACTCATATCCATGTCAACCTTCCATGATGCAATGCCAGAATATTCAAATTTTTGGTAGCCAATTGCTTTGGATATTTATATCCATTTTAAGAGAATGAATAAATGCACCCAGCTAGAGCTTTATGCAAAATAAACTGTGTGTAAATCATTCGTAGAAATTAATCATTTCCAAGGGCGAAGGACTGGATCTCATTTCAAACTTTTACTTGTTCATCTATGTCAGAATCCACCAAAGGAGAACATACAGGATGTGTCATGGCTTAGGTCCTCATCACAGACCATTTAGACAGTAATATTAGTTTATGCCTGACCTAATGATCTCTGCCAACCAAGGTGCTGTGGACAGCCTGCGCTTTGGGCTCGCTCTGCTCAATGAAAGTCACATTTTACAAACATAGCAGAGAGAGATGAGAACCCCCTCTTCAGCACCTTCCTCAGCCACCCCATCCGTGCCCAGGAATTGCAGGGAAAGCCAAGCATGGAGCCCTGCAAAGCGGCAGGGAGGGTGACGGGGCCCTCGCGCAGCTGCGGCAGATGTGCCCAGCTGTGCTCCCAGTGTCCCTGCCCCTTCCCGGTGGAGCGGAGCTGCCCGAGACGTCCCTATTTCAGCACAAGGGGCCAGGGCGCAGGGGCAGCCCCAGTGCCGCGGGCTGCTGCACCTGCCTCCCGCCGGCTCTGCGTCGGGGCCGCCTCCCCTGCAGCTCCCGGCCCTTTCTGGAGGCGCCGCAGGGCTTCCCGGAGCCCCGGGAGCTTTCTTTACATGCCATTCATCAAGGAGGAGAGCACGGGGAATTTAATCTACAACTTTTTGGACAGCTGTAACTTTTTGCATTTTTTCAGCAAAAAATCGTTTTGCTCTGCTCACCTGGACTTGCAAACACCTTCTTGGCGAGGTGACAATGAACAAGTTGGTGGCCGAGACCAAAAGGTTTTTACCCACAGAACCGGAGCAGTTGTAGAGAATGGCTAATACAGATGTGCCCAGTATGATTAGCTTTATTTATATATAGCTGAGAATTGTCCCAAAATACTTTTACATGAGGCAAAATAAAAACAAAAAACGCTGTTGTAGTCCCTATTGAATCAATGAAGTCTAGCTTAAGCAGGCCCTAAATTCCTATTTCCACAACAGACCTTAATGGCTCCAAAGGAAGCATTCAAATGTATTCGACAAATAATCCTTATTTACGAAAGCCCCACACTATGCATTTACATAATCCCCACTTAAAGAAAGCTCTATCAGCTCTAAAGTTCTCTAGCTCGGAGATAGGCCCGGAGAGGATTCAAAACACGGCGGAGCGGGGGGCAGAGGTAGCGCTCAGGGACAGCTTTGCAAAGCAGGAGACTTGGCAAGAACCCAGCGGGTCTCGGGCTTTACTCACACGGAAGAGGACTGGCCACTTGCTAATATTCCCACGTGATGGATGCATTTTGCTGTCGGAGGTTCCGTCCTTGAGATAAGAATATGATAGCGGGCAGGTTTGCACCGAGCATGCTGATGTTGCCAAAGAGGTTGAATAAAAAGGCAGTTCCTCGCTGTGGAAAACAGGCTGTCCCTTAAAAGTTGACTGTTGGAAAGAAAGATGCAAGTTTTTTAATACTGATTCGTTACCTTCTCTTATTTTAGCCAGATGAGCCCCTATGCACCACTTGGGAACAAACTGCTGTGACTCCTGTTTGGAGAAGCGCTCGCTTAGCGACCAGTGTGCTCCAGGTGCCGCCTGCTCCTGGCGGCCAGCGAAGCCGCGGCTGAGCTCCAACCAAGGGCGAAAACACTGCAGAAAGCATCTGCACACAAACATGGTCAGCGCCTGCACCTAAGCACATGTGTCTGTCTCATTTCAAACCCCTTCATTAGCAAGTATAAAACAAAGGAGAATGTGGAAGCACAGAAATGCTGGTGTTCTACCTTCAGAGAGCACCCACGTTCCTGTGCTGTGGGGCTCTGTCTGCAAAACCATGGGTAAAACGGTTAAGTTTAGGCCCAGCCTGCTCAGTGCAAGGCTGGGGTATGGCTGGGCTCAGCCCTGGGCAGCAGCTGATGCCCAAGGCACTAAATACTTCACCCCAAGGTGACACAGCAGCCTTCCCATCTCACTGAACATCTCGGTGTGTTCTGAGCTCTGTTCCAACTCAACAACAGAATGAGGTTCTTTGCAGTTTACATAAAACAACCACATGAATGAACACTCAATATAGGAAAGGGAAGGCCTGCGGATGGGTTTGGTGGGGGTTCAGCACGGAGGATTATGCAATAGAGCAGATAGAGGTGTCTACCCTTGTGTTGTCACCAGATCTTGTCAATCTAAGACCAACTCCAGCAGGAAGCAGAAGCAACCACACATTGACCGGTGTGCAATGAGCAAGAACGGGCTCCTCGGGACCCTCGGTGCCTGGAACCTGCCAACCCGGGCACTCTCCTTGATGCATCCCTTGCATCGATGCTTGCATCGAGTCCAGCAACCTGCAAAACTTGGCTGCGGAGAGATGCAGATTGCATGAGAATGGTTATTTTTACCATTTTCCAAGCAGCTTTAGGATAGGACATGTGCATTTCTTTATCCTCCCCACTGACTGCTCTGATAACACGTGATTCCAGAGGTGGCCAGAAGACAAGCAAGGCTTCCCAGGTGGATTCGTGTCATTGGACTACTCAAAATGGTCTGTGTGGAAGAATGTGCAGATGTAAAAACAGTGCCTGGTCTTTCAGCCTCAGGTGCATGGTTTTTCTCCACAGTTTCACTGGAAAAGTGTTCCAGGGAACGAATCCTGTGTTTCAGGCTTCATGTCAATTTATATGTCTCTTCTTTTGCAAACTTTGTCTCATAGCTTAAAAAGCTTTTTCCCTTCCATGTATTTTGTCCTGTACTGTATTTACAGACAGCAAATGTCCTCTCCACGTCTTTGTCTCACTCGGTCAGCCAAGGTCCTTTCAGTGTCATCTGCCCGTGACTAGGTGGCTTTTTCCCAGGTTCTGTCCACCCATCTCTGCGCCTCTCCCAGTGTGAATCAGCCCTTCTCAGACACAGGTGACCACAGTCTCCTGCACTTCCAGTGATGTTTCCCCATGGCCTTGTACAACAGCACAGGAGCATCCAGCAGTTCCTTTGCCTTCTTGCCCGTGGCTCCATGCCAGAAGCACCCTACTCTGGGATAAAATAAAGATCTAAGGAAAGACAAATCTTTGCATCATTACCATCTGGCAAAGTCCCACTTTAAAGTAGTAGTTCTTGCTCTTATCAGGTGTTTGCACTACTGAAATTCATCGTGGTTTTATTACATTTTTATTACTCCAGTTTTCAGCTTGATCCTATTCTTCTAATCCTGTTTTGTGAGGCTGATGCCATCAGCAAATTTCATTTCTCTGCTCTACTTTATGAGCCAAGCTGAGTCATGAGAAGTATCAAACATGGTCAGCTCCAGGACTCATCTTTTTCTGAACAACTCCCCCAGCAGCTTCTCTTTGTGGTCACTCCCCATCCGTTTATCATCTTCTGTCCATCCTTTGGCCATTTCCTCACTCATATAAATGACTCTGCTAAACTCCTTTGGTCTTGCAGAGAGCCCTTGTGGGATTGCTGGGGTCAGCCCTGCAGAAATACATAACACAGCTCCACGTGGAGCATCTCATCTGAGAGAAAAGGTTTCTTAGGAACACAAATAATTTTGAGCTGAGTGCAAAAAGCAAACGTTACCTGGGACAAACCTTTCCAAGCACGATCCTGGACCAACTCCATTCACACTATTCCCGTTGGGATGAGAAGGTCTGAGGCCGAGGAGCCTGCCCCTTCTTCAGCAGGATATTCAGCGTGTGAGTCACGAACCAGCCCCTCCGCCACACAAGCTTTGCATCCATTAACTCTTTCCTGCAGGAG